GCGGCGTGCAGGGCAGGAGGTCGGGCCGGCCTGTGGGGAGGAGGCTGTGGGCGCCTGCAGGAGCCGGGCCCCCAGCGCCACCTGTGGCTCGGCTCACCTTCTGCACCCATGCCCCACCCCCACCTGCCACCCAACACTACCTCCTGCTGGCCAGCTTTAAGAGGGCAAATGCATTCCAATTTACCCCTGGCACAACAGCTTCCAGCAGCCCACCCGTCCTGGAGGCCCACAGGTCCTGCTCCACCTGCCCACCTCCTCGCTCACTCTGCTGCGACCACACAGGCCTCTCACTGTTCCTCCAACGCGCCAGGCCTACTACTGCCACGGGGCCTTTGCACATGCAGTCTTTCCCTTCCTTGATGCTATTCCCCCAGACCCTCCCTGTCTGGCATCTTTGACTCCTTAACCCTGGAAACTGGGAGGGACCTTCCAAAACACCATGCCCAACCCCATCAAGTGCTTCATCCCTCTGGGTGTCTGCACGCCTGGTGATGGGGTGGGGTCACCTCTCCCTCCGCAGCACTCCCCAGAGGGCTGTAGATCTCAGACTGGGATGGGGGCGGGGTGACTGTGACCCAGGCCCTTCCCATCCAAGTACCAGCTTCAGGGAACCTTTCCTCACACTGGGGTGCTCCCTGCGTGCCCTCCCCTCTCGGCCCCCCAGGGACGTCGTCTTTCCCCAGCAGCCCCCTGATCTCTCCTGTCACCGAGGCGCCCGCTCCCCAGCCTGCCCGGTCACCTTCGTCCTCCAGCGTGGGGTAGCTGCGGGCCCCCCGAAGGTCATACTGGGCATCTTCCCGCTCGCTGGGGATCTGGCTGGCCGAGAAGGCGGCCGTGGGCCCCAGGGGCTTGACAGCCAATGACGCACCACGGCCCTTCTTGGACGGGGAGGACTTCAGGGCTGTGGAGAGAGGCGCACTGGCGCTCAGGGGCCGCCTGGGAGCCCCCGGCAACCCTGAGGCAGGGGCCCCCAGCCACCATCCCTCCTTTGCGCAGAAGCCTGCTCGCCACCCCCTCGAGGCCCGCTGCCTGCACACATGGCCCCCGCTGCCCGGCCTCCAGCCCGGCCCTCAAGCCTGGGCAACGAGCCGCTGTCTTTGTGGAGAAAACCCTGCCCTGCCTTCTACCCGGCTCTGCCTCGGGAGGCACCAGGAGGCCCCCTTGTCGCAGCCCGCCCTGGCTGTGGCCTCCACTTTCAGACAGGAAACAGAAGGCCTTGGCACGTGCAGGGCTCAGCACCAAGGGCCTGGTCCAACCCGGGATGAGTGGCCCGTGGAATGCGGCTCAGCCCACCAGCCCCCGTCACGGTGTCCTCCCCGTCCCTGCTGCGAGCTCTGGCCCCGGGACGGCCGGCACAAACCCCAGCACACAGTACGTGCTCAATTTGCCTTGTGAACAGCCCTCCGGTACCTGGAGGCTGGTGAGCTCCCCGGACCACAGTGAGAATGACGCCCCAGGAGAGGTTCCAAGGCGTGGCACGCGGACGCCAATGAACAACCCACTCTCAGGAGACAATCCCACTGCCGCCAATTTCAAGCTCCCGTCTAGATGTCACTGAACGTGGAGTGTTGGCTCGACGAGCCGGCTCCAGGTGACCAAGCTGGGTCATGGCCCACACAGGCCTGGCCCAGGCCAGGAGAGCAGGTAGGCACTGGGCACTTAACACCTACTGTGTGCCAGGCCCCAGCCTAGACACTGGGGACACAGAGCGACCAAGGCTGATGAGAACGCTGCCTTCTGGGGACACAGGGTGCGGGGGGCAGATGGCGGACAGACACACGGGGAGAAAGGCCCCTTCTGGGATGTGTGCCGGGATCTGGGACTCGAGGCCCAACAGACACCCAGGGGGCAAGAGCCGCCTCTGTCCTGCGTCCTCCTCGACAATGCCGGGTCCCGGCTGCTGACCGGCCGCCTCCGCGTCCACCAAGGTGGTTTCCTCGGTGACGGCACGAGGCTGCAAGTGGTCCCCCTCAATGTGCACCGGTGCAGGGTCAAGCCCAGCTGCTGCGTGTGTACAGATGGGGAAACTGAGGCACAGAGCGGGGCATCGCTTGCTGGAGGTCACCCCGGCAGGAGGCGGTGCAGCCAGGACTCGAGCTCAGACGGTGGGCCCCAGGCCGTGCGCTGGGCCCCGTGAGCGTGGTGCCCTGACCCTCCCGTTCTCTGGACCGAGTCCCTGACCGAGGCCCAAGGATGGCCGAGTAGCGGGAGGTGACCCTGTGGGCTCGCTCGGCTCTTGGCCGCCCCTGCCTCCCGTCTCTGCACCCCGGGGGCCCTCCTGCCCAAAGTGCCTGGGAGGCTCACAGGAGTTCTTCCGGAAAACCGTGTTGCTCATGAACTTGAAGAAGCGCTCTGCGTAGAAGCTGGGCCGGTGGACAGAGACGGTGTCCTGGGAAGCGAAACAAGGGCCCGAGGGCAGAAGGGCATGAGTGCCGTGGTCCCACCAGGAGCTCCCCGGGTCCCGCGGGACAGCCCAGGGCACAGGCGGGCGGCGGGGCAAAGCCGCCCATGTGGGGAGGGGACTGGATCCCCAGCATGGGGCTTCCTGGACGGACCCGGGGGTCAGGTGACGGTGGCAGAGGGCAGGGTGGGAGGGAGACTCCGCCATCATAAACCCGTCTGTATTTCTAATCCTTTGAACCATGGGAAGCGACAGCTACTCAAAGAGGTAAACGAATGAACGTCGAAACACAGAAACCAGAGCAATTCTCTGAGAGCGAGTCTCAACAAAGGACGGCTGGACGCCTGTTTTGTAAGGGACGGTTGGTGGCGCACAGCCACGCCTGAGGTGGGGACAGGCGGCCGCTGGTGTCCCTCGGTCCCACACCCCAGTGTGGGGTGATGCCGGGCTCCCCTCTAAGCTTGTCTCCTTCTCTGCGCGACAGGGAGGCTAGAGGCTGCCACTCTCGCCGGACGCGACGGCACCCCGCCCCCCCATGCCAAGACCCCCCCCTCTGGGGGGTGACGACCACAGGTGGTGCCCCCAGACAGGGCCTGGGTCCTCTTCCTGCTGTAACGTAACAGAACCCACAGGGGACTCGCGGCCTCCAGGGTGAAAGCGACACGTCCCATCCTCGCTGCAGAGGCGTGACCGCAGGACCGCGTTCTGGCAGGTGGTGGGGGAGACGAGGCAGTGACAGCTTCCGCCCTCTCCTCTGCCTGGAGTGCCCTGTGGGGGGCCAGCCGTGCGGGCCACGCCCAGGAGTGTGCAGCGCCAGGCAGAAGCAGCCGGCCCTGGACTCCAGGGGCCACCCCACCTGCCCCAGACCGTTCACGCCTGTATGGCTACGCTGACCACCGTTTGGGCCCCCAAACCCGAGCAGCCTCGGTAGGGCTTACAGTGCTTCCGGCTGCCATGGCTTTGTGACGCCGTGAGAGGGTTCCTGCCCCCTGGCCCTTCTTGGTGCACCTTCTGGAAGCTCCCATCTGGACCGTCCAAACACTCTCTGAGGGGTGTTGGGGGCCGGCTGGGGTTCTGGATTTTACAGACCGCACGCACGCAGACAGCCCTTAGCGTTTCAGTAAGAATCGGTCTGAAGGGAGCCACGGGAGGACAGGCATGCATCAAGGCCCCAGCCAGCTCGTCAGCCCAACCGGACCGGGGTGCTAGGGCTGCTGTCGCAGGTGCACCGTTTGGTCCCCAACAGCTGGCCTGCCCCGTGGGTGTGGCCAGTGCCCGAGCCCCCTCCGTCTTGCGCATTTCCAGACTGCTCTTTGCCTAGCTGGCCCCTGACTCTCCCGGTCGGGCGGTCTTTGGGAATCCTCCCAGCTCAGCTTGGGCGTCCTCTCCTCCAAGAAGCCCTTCCGTGCCCCTCACCGGTGGCTCAGACGCCACTGCCGGACGGCCTACAGCTAGCTGCCTGCCCTCTCCCGTCTTGACCCGGACCCCTTGGCCTGTGACTGCCGGGGGCACACGGCCGCCCCCAAGGGACACTGGCTCCGGGAAGGGAGGCCCGTGTTTCTCGGCTCTGGAGCACCTGTGCCTGGCCCCGGGAGACCATCACGTCTGTGGACTGACGCGTGAAGGCACAATGCTCACCCCGTCGTGGACAAGAGCCTTCCAGGTGTGTTCCAGCTTCTTGATGAACCTGCAGAGAAAACGAGTGAACCAAAGTGGTCCTCTAGTGGGGCGGTCCCGTCCCCAGGGGACACTGGGCCATGTCTGGGGACTGGGTGTGCTCCTGGCACCAAGTGGGTGGGAGGGCCCTGGTGCAGAGGAACTGAGACGCCTCAGCCAGAGGCCACCTCCCTCTTTGGCGCCCTCTGTTCCCCTCCCCGCCTGCTGGTGGCTCCTACCGCTGCTACTCTTAGAGAGGAAGTGAAAAGGCCGTGGCGCTTGGCCCTCGGTGGGGGGCATATGGCAGCACCCCCAGAGTACGGCCTTCCTCTCTCATGGCCCAGGCTGAGCCCGGGTCCTCTCTGCTGGAATCAGTGGCCTGCACTGTGGCTCTAACTAGATCCCTGCACGCCTGGGCTGGGGAGAACGTTGCCTCCTCCAGGCAGCCTTCCTGGACACCCCCTAGTCTATGGGGTGGGGGAAGGGTCCTCTTCTCAGCACCCACCCCCGTGGGACACCCCTGCCCCAGGATAGGCTTGTGGCTGCCTGACACACGCTGGCCCACCCTCCTTGCCCCCACTCAAGAGCCTCCGCAGAAACCCTGGTCTGACACCTCCAAAGTTTCCCCGGGCGCCTGCGTGGCTCAGCTGGTTAAGCGCCCCACTCTTGACTTCAGCTCAGGTCACGATCTCACGGTTTGTGAATTTGAGCCCCGAGTTGGGCTCTGTGCCGACAGCCTGGAGCCTGTTTGGGATTCTCTCTCTGCCTCTTCCCTGCTCACTCTATCCCTCAAAATTAATAAGTAAACATTAAAGCTCTCCACTCCTGCTCTAAACCCAGAGAGATGTCCCCGTGGAAGACATCTGCCCCTGAGTCGGAAAACAACAGGCTGCGAATACTAGTGTTTGACGGGCAGGAGCCCAGTTTCATATTTAGGAAAAAAGCCACCCAGTGGGCTTCCTGAGGGGGTGGACATGGGAAATGGGGACCACCACGCCCAGGGTCCCCTCTGTCCTGTCGGGAACGTGCATAATGAACGCATTCCGCTCTCAGGACGGAAAACTAAGACTAAGAAACGCTCGTCACCAAGACCTCATGCGGGTCAGGGCATGGGTAACGAGGTGGCCCACACCCCAGCTTTTAAACCACAGGTGAGGCTGGGGTATCTGTTCCTTCGGCTCTGCCGCACTTGAGATCCCACGATATGGGGCCCCAGCCACGAGCATTTACTCCTGCCCATCGTAGGAGCTGTCCCGAGATGCCGTGCTCTGCGGCCACGGGCACTTCTGTCCTGCGCACTTTAGCCCGGCACCGGGCACACGGTCGGCGCTCAGCAGACAGGGCCGGACCGGCGGGCGACACCCCACCCACCCCACATGCCCCACGCCAGCCCCAACCCCGAAGGTGGAGTCACCCAGTCGGGGACCGAATGCCTCCCTCGAGGCCTCAGGGGACGGCAGCCAATCAGGAGCCTTCCTGGGGCCGAGGAGGCTTTGTCTGCGGGCAGCAGGTGCACCGCTTCCGTGGGCAAGTGAGGGGGGCAGGGGGCACCCACCTGTACGACTGCAGAATGTCAATGATGCCAATATGCAGCAAAAGGCGCTCCCCTCGGCCGTTCACGGCGGGAATCCCGCCCATCCTGGGGAGAGAGGGCGGGAGCGCGGTCAACACCCCACAGGGCCACACCGCTGTGGGCAGGGGCGGGGGGACAGGAGCGCCGTCAACACCCCACAGAGCCACACCGCTGGCGGGGGCGGCGTGGGGGGCCCAGAGCCCGGCCTCGGAGAAGCTGAAGGAGCCAGAGCCCATGTGCTCCTGTAGGCGGCAGCTCGGCTGGGGCCGAGCTGCCGTCAGACACGCGAGGCTGGAGGCTGGCGAGGGGTCTGGCCCCCACACACCCGTGCGCACGCACACGCACACGCTCACCCCGGGCGGGGCCCCCAGTGCTTCTGGGTCCCGTCTGGGGAGTTAGTCGCTTCACTCAGCCCCAGGCCCACACGTGCCCGGCCCGGCATGGTTAGTGAGGCCACACGACGCAGCGACTGTCCTCAAGTCCCCATGACCCAGGCCCGCCAGGCCCGGGCCCTGCAGGCTCCGCGCACCGCACTCCACGCACTGCCCAGCTCACCTGCGCACCCCGCCATCCCGCCAGGCCTGGCACAGACCCTACAAACGCCAACACAGTGGAGGTCGGGCCAAGCCACCAGACCTCTGCAGGTGTCACTCCCCCTGCCCCCACTGCCTCGCCTGGTCAGGGTCAGGGCTCCTCCTCCGTCCTCCCCAGCTGTGAGCCCCCCCGTCTCCCTTGCGGACGCTGGGGGGTTATGCCCCCCTCCTCCAGGGCCCCCGTGCTGGTTCCCGGCACGCTCAGTCTCGACACCCTGTCTACAGAAACCGTTCCCACCGGGGTACTGTCGTCCTCAAGCACTCGACGATGTCTGGAGACGTCTGAGGCCCTCACGACTGGGGGTGCCCTGCCATGGGGGGGGGGGCCAGGGATGCTGCTCTGGCCTACAGCACTCAGGACGCCCCAGAGAACGACCCGGCCCAGCGTGCACAGTGCCGGGGGCGGGGCGGACACCCCACGAATCTGTCTCGGGCAGAGGGCACAGCCCTCTCTGAGACTGTGACCTCGGCCTCCACCACCGGGGCCTGTTCTCCCCGGGGCTCTGGGTTCAGCCCCCTGCTGTAGATGTTGCCTCGTCCCCAGCACTCAACACCCCTACGGCTTTGCTTCAGATGGTGGTGCTTTAACCCATTCTGGGGTCCGGCAGGGGGAGGGGGCATCTGTGTTTCCCACACGGATGGCCACGGGCCTCAGTCCGCAGACAGACTGAGCCGGAACGCCCCGGTCATCACCCGGCCGGGGAGCTGTGCGTCCACCTGTGACCCTCGCGGGGCCTGGCGGGCAGACTCTGCTGCTCCGATTCACAAACCAGGAACCAGCCACACGCGGGCTTCTGGACGCGCCTGCTCCTCGTCTCTTGCCCTCGCGGCCAACTTTCCCTGCCCGCCTCACACCCGAGGGCCCCACAGCCCCGGGTCACCTACGTGTCATCCGACTCGATGGCCTCCCCGCGCGCGGCCCCGCCCTGGATGGACTCCATGGCCGTGGAGTAGAGGGCCTTCTGGCCCAGCGGCCGCTTCTCGTCCGCGGTGCTCTGGGCGCCCTCGGCCTGCCGCTCCCGCTCCTGCTGGTCGATGTTGTGCACGCCCAGGAGCAGGCTGTAGTCCATGATCTTGAAGCTCTCCAGCACCTGCCGGGGGTGGGGTCGACAGGTCACGCTCCCGGTGCCCGGCCCCCCACAACCCCAAGCTGCATCGGGGTCTGTGCCCACTCGGTCCCCACAGCCTCGCAGAGGCCTGTCCTGACCCCCATTTCACGGATGGCCAGGAGTCCAAGGGGTCAGGGGCAAGGGGCCAGGCCACGTGGCAGGCAATGGGACCCGAGGCGTGGCATCCACACAGACAGGGCCCAGGGTGTTTCCTTCCTCCTGACAGAGTCCAGCCGCTCCGCACACCAAACCCGCTCCTGGCCCCCAGGGCTCTGACACCTGGGCTCAGGGAAGCCCGAGGTCCTGAGAGGTCTGGGGGCGTCCTCGGGCAAGGTCGTGCAAAGTTTTCCAAGAGGCCTAGGAGCCAGGGGTGGTGGGCCTGGGGGCCTGGGGTTTCGAGCCTGCTCCCCGAGACTAGATGAGATCTCTAGTCCAGGGGAGCAGGCTCGAAACCCCCCAGGTCACGGGGTGGAGGAGACCACGAGGACAAGCGGGGGCAAAGGGGTCCGTGGGCCTGGGGCTCACACTCTACTCGCTTCCACCAGCGTCCCCGTTTCACAGACGGGACAACAGAGGCCCAGAGAGGCGAGGGACCCTGAACTGCCCCCCCCCCCCCCC